TTTGTGGAGAAATGCACTGTGCCACCAGAACTGCTCACAGAAAAACAATGTTTGTTCTAAAGTGCAAAATGCATACATGGCACATTAAGTCAGCTGCTCTCATCAAAGCAAACCCTAATCTAATGCTAGCACCAGCCCAAAATCTGATGTATTATTCTTAGATATTTTAATTTTTCTTATTTTTTAAAGTCTACTTAGCTACAGCTACTTTTTTTTTTTTTGAGACTGCCATTAAGAGATTTACAATTTTACCAGTAACTCTGCACCAGCTTTGCTTATTTGCAAGGCACTGTGAGTGTGCAAAACCACAGCAAGTCACATTGGACAGCTGCTTGTACAATCAGTCAGCACCTTTAGTCTCTATAAGAGACTCTAATGACCAAACACATCCAAATGCACAATGAATTGATCTTAGTGCAAAAAACCAGATATTAACTCATGTGTGCCTAAAGACAATGCAATTCCTTGTCCCTTCCCAGTGCTTTGAAGTGCATTTGTGAAGTGTTTTGGTTCATGGACAGTTAATTAAGTGACTAAATGACCATCCAGCTAAAAGGGACACCCCAGGAGTGCCTTTATATGCCAAAAAATGAACTTTCCTGTTTTGTGTCAGACACAATTTCACTAACAAAAGACATGACTTAATACTAGCTGCAGCTTATTAGGGGAAAAAAATAGTTTCCCTGTAAGGACGCTAATGAAGATGATAACAATGTCTGCATAGAAGTTTCCTTCTTAGAGAAGAAACCCAGAATAAATGAATTGATGGCCTTTTGGTGAAAAGTGCTTCCCTTAGAAAAAGGTAAGAAATCCTCTAAGAGTACTGAGAATTTAATTCCTCTGTACCACGACTGAAAGGTAATTGCAGACCTTGCCGGTGCTACTGTCCTTTGTGCCTCTCCAAGGTACTGAACGTGCTCGTGTAAAGGAAGTTAAACGTGCTCTTCAGCTTTTCAGGCTGATGAAGTACAGCCAGGCAAGGCAAGCTGAATACTTGACAACCCAGAGCAGCAACTTCTTTTGATGCAGCCGCCTTTAGAGAGGCTGCTGGTTTGGGTAAGATGTGCAGGGAAACAGTGAAATCACCCCATCAGTCGAGACCCTGGATAACAGTGCATCTGTAATTCCACGTTGGTTTAACAGTGCATTTGGCAAACATTAATCTCTTCACGTGTAATGCAAAGTCTTTCCTTAAATTTCTTGGGGAATGTAAAATAATAATAAACTTGTCAAACCCTAATTCCACTCCTTGCTCACTTTCTCTTGTTCTTGATCTTCGGGTCTTCTCTCTGATCATCCACACTTTTCTAGCATGTACTAGCATGTACACATTTTCTAGCAGCTTCCTTCTAGAAACAGCCCTTGACAACATCAAGCTGAGGCTTTGGTGACAGATAATGCATAAAAGCCAAAATGAATATACACCCACACTGTACTAAGTGGTGGTGGGACGATGACAGCGACTTTTAGGACTTAAATTTTTAAATACACACCCTCCCATCGCTCTGGCTCTGCTGCAGATTTGTTAGTTGCCTTAAGTCATAAACTATAACAACAATCTCATGAGTATGTGCAGGCCATTTGCTTCACATTCATATATTATAGAGGGATTTGTTGACTTTACGTGCCCGCTCATTTCAGAGGAACTTGTCATCCCATTCTTGTTTTTATCTGGGGGCTTTAACAAAACATTACCAACACCACTAAAATGAGAACTACTACATAGTTATTTGCTGCAAAATCCCACCATGAGTAACACTAGCAGTTAAATTCAACAGAATATACAGTTTGAAAAAAATTGCCAATGTCTCAAAGGAAATTTTCTCCCAGAAAATGTCACAGCCATGCATACTGACAGAGTAAGAGTCACCATTCTGACTGAAAAAAAAAGTGAAATCAAAGCTATCCACTGAAGTTTCCCCCCCCCCAACCCAACTGAGAAGGTCATGTATGGACAGGACAAGGGGTAAATAGTTTTAAACTAAAAGAGGGTAGATGTAAGGAAGAAATTTTTCATGATTGAGTGTGGTGAGGCCCTGGCACAGGTTACCCAGAGATTCCCAGGTGGATGCCCCATCCCTGGGAACATTCAAAGCCAGGCTGGATGTGGCTCTGAGCAACCTGGTGTAGTTGCAGATGTCCCTGCTCACTGCAGGGGGTGGGACAAGGTGACTTTAAAAAGTCCCTTCCAACCCAAACTATTCTATGATCTGACAGAAGAGGCAACTGTGTTAACAGGTATAATAATTACAAGAAAACACAAAGAAAAATAAAGCCTTATTTGACATATTGTAAAGAACATTTAAAAAAATGCACATAGTGATACCATAGTTTTTGACAATTCAGCAATTCTGTTATCTTGGCTCCCTAGAAACACACCACTTCTGGAATGCTGACCATCTGGCAGAACCCCTCCCCATAAGTCTCCTAAATACCTGCATGTAGTGAAGGAGAACGACATCAGCATTCACTGCCTTAAAAATGGGAGGGAAACCCTTCTGCAGAGCCAATTAAATGACATTCCTTGAAACATCTTCAGAATTTATTTTTTCTCAGAACTGTTACGTGTGTGTTACTTTTGATCTTTCATCTCTCTCACATAAGGACAATTCAGCACATGCTCTGTTCCCACACCAGTGGTGACAGCAGCTCTGTGTACACGAGCATCAGGATCATTTTTATGGCATAAAAATGGTGCAGGGTTAAGAATGTGCACATTAAGGTTTTTGCATGAGTAAGAGTTAACTTTACCAGCTATCTGAATGAACAGTACCAAACCCACCACTCCTGTCCCCATTTTTATGTCCTCAGTCCACGAACAACTGACAGTGATGTCACTTAGAAATCACTGTTACAGCTGACACACAATATTATGGCTGATTGACTGAGCCAAATCATTGTAAGCTTGTTTAAGAGCATTAAAAAAGCTTTATATTGATTTAGCAATATAAGGTACTTTTAATCAGATTAAAGAGCATCATACAAGGTGGTTGTATCAATGTCACTGATGAGTTTAGCAGGAGATCCAGTCAGATGGATGCATCAGCCTAACTGGATCACTGGCTAAACTGATCAGTTAAATTGATACATCTCCTTGTGTGCAAAGAACAAGTTAAATGTACAACTTGCTCCACAGATAAGAAACACTTTCCATAAGATATCTGTACATTTCTCAGGTTTTTATGCATCCTCTCTGTGTCTCAGGTTTTCCATATTTATAGGGCTGCCATATTTACTTCCTGAATTTCACAGACAGCAAGATGTGAGTGGATGCTCCCTGGTTTTTCCAGAGACCTACTGCACACAGAGTGCTCTGATGATTGGTATGTGTACCATAAATCTGTCACCTCCTGAACTTGCCAGGTTTACTATCTGACATACATCAAACTTCCAGCGAGGCTCACACTTTCAGCACGTGCACTTCCACTGCAAAAGTACTCAGGAATTCCTACACAGGTCAGACAAATGTCTGTTCAAGTTCCTTCTAGACAAAATCTCTGACCAGGGAAATAAAATTTATATGGAAGCCCTGCTACAGAGCAGTGTTAGAGTTCTCCCATTTGTGAGTATTTCCACACTCCACGAGTTTCAAGTGATTCTACCCCAACAATCCCAACAGGGCGGGAATAAGAGTAAAGCACAGCAGATGAAAAACAGATATTTATCTCAACAAATACAGGACATACATTTCTCTACTTGCAATTTTCCCAAACTGTAAGAAAACTCATGCAGATCTCATTTTCAGACACCACGTGCCTGCCTTGGTCACTCTGCTCTGCTCCCCTGCAAGGGTTCCCAAGAAACTCTCGGATATCGGGATAACAAGGCTTTGTCACCATCTGTGAGTTGATTTGGGTATTCTCAGCATTGACAAAAGAAAATTTGTGATGTGGCACAAGTGGAGGAAGTAGATTCTTAATGGTTAATAACTCAGGATTTGTCACTTAGCTCTCTTCGAGAGATTGCCCAGGAACCCATTGTTTCATCTTCCAGCTGTTTCCCATCAAATTACTATTAAATTATTCATAAATTATTACACAGTTTCTTCACATCCCTTCAATACTAATTTTCACAGTTTCAAAGTGCCTGTAATACCAGCTTTCAGGTTTAAAAAAATGCACATAAGCAACAGCAAAATACACTGTGCAGATTAACAAAATTCAAATCCAAGAATACTTTTCCCTTTTTAATATAAACTCTAAAAACTCAGCACTTCTGGAACACAGCAATATCCCATTACCATCATCTGCTAGCACATCTATCCCTTTGAACACGTGAAAATATAATATAGAAATAACAAGCAACATCCCTGGTATTTCAACAGTTTTCCAATAAATGAGACAAGATTTAATCTACATTTTTTAATGTTACAGCCAACCTCTTCAGTCTCTGTGCAGGTGAAAACACGAGATGGCTTCATAACTGTTTCAGGAAAGGATAAATGAGCACACCTTGAGATAATATCTAATCAAAGTGCAAGTACTGTGTCATTAGTGGGTGAGCTGCTAATTAGTCAAGAACTACAATTGTCATCGTAGGCTAAAAAAACCCCAAAAAATAAACAATATTTAGAATTTTATAGTGAGGAAAACAGAACTAAGCATAAATCTGTAAAAAAACCCCCATGGATTCATAGATTAAAAACCAAAAATCTCAGTATTCATTAAGTTAGTCCACTCAAGTAAACGTAACTGAGAGATGAGCATTTCCTTTTCCAAAATGTATCCTGAAAATGAATAGCGTGAAGGAAGCGCAGACATTCTGCATATCCAGCCCCTTATGCTGCACCAGGACCATTAAAACCACATGAATTATTTTGTCAAACTGCTCCAGAAGTTCAGAGATGGTCTTAAAATAGTAATTTATCTCCAACTCAGTATGAACGAGGCTACTTTATTCTCTTTAAACCTTAATTAGTGTACTTAGAATGTAAGCTGTGTTATCAAATACAATTAATCATATTTTAGGGTGGGTGCATTTTGAGCTTTAAATCGACTTACATTCTGCTGCTTGGGATAATCTTGTGCCCGTCTCTAAACCACGTCACTTGGGGTCTTGGATAGCTCAGGATGCGTGGGAAGTTCAGAACTGCAGCTTGTCCTTCAGTCACTGTTTTTCTCTGGTCCGTGTCCATGAAATTCCCCATGTCTGCAAATTAAAAAATGATGCTCAGAGTCCTGGAAGTTCTTGTCTCTCCCCCCATTTCTTTTCAGAGGACAGGGTAATAACCGTGTTCCCAGCAGCCACTGCCACTGCTGGAATTAGTCAACAGGACACAAGAGATCATGGGACAGTTCTGATGTTGATTTATACAGAGTCAGATGAACATAAGGCATGAAGGAAACCCAAGTGCTGCTGGAGCATCCATCAGAAGTCCTGAATGGCCCCGGTGCTCTGTGGCAATAACTGAGTGGTTTTAACTGGAAGTGGCATTTTAATGGAGGTTTGTTTGGTTTGGACTGTTGGGGTTTTTTTTAGATAAGATCCTGCAATGCAAAGGAATATTCGTGGTGTATATGAATTTATCAATTTTTTGGTCATCCTTTTTTTTTTTTTTTAATCCAGGGCTACACAAACAGACAAGCAGCTCTGTCATTGTAGTCAAGGCAATGGATAGTCAGACCTATGCAAGTGAGCCACTACATCCAGATGGATTCCAAAATAACAAGGCCACAGTCATGTTGGGAGCTGTCAGTTCTGGCACTACACTATGATTTCAGTAGTTGCCTGTGGATCTCCAGCATTTACAAAAGCATCCCTGGTCTCAGAGAGCAGCTTTTAACAAAAATTTTAATGGAAGAAAGGAATCTACCATTGCTGAACCCCTGCCTCTGAAGGCTTTACTTCACAGGCAAGCTCACATATCTGGGGAGTCCCTGAAAAAATTCAGAGAACGTTTTCTTCTTGTTTTTCTTTTGCCTCTTGTATCTCATTCTTAGCCATTAAAATAAACAGGGCTGTAGGCTCTTACTTCTTCACTCTCCAAAGAAATTCTATGCATTTTAATTTGATTTAAACTAAGGAACTCACTCACACACACACACACACACAGAGAGAGAACTATTCTGGCTTCTGTCACTGAATTCCCTTCTTTTTTTTTTTTTTAAGGACCACAGGGTTCTCTCCAAGTTCTGTGCAGCAGAGAGGGATGTAAAGGACTTAGGAAAGAGAAGACTTGCTGTCAGGTCTGTGAATGGCAGGAGATGAGAAGAGACAGAACAAGAGCAGAAATTAAAAACACATGGTATTTTAAAGAAGCTTTAATCATCTTTGTGATTTTCAAGTTATTTATTCAGAGATAATCAGCATTGTACTTCCTCTGTTGCTCCATATTCCTCACAACTGTAATCAGATCAGCTACTTGAAAAGAAGTTTCAAACCGCGTAGGTGGATCTAATTAACTTCACTGTCATATGATTATTTCAGTTTTCACAATCCAAGAGTTTTAAAGCCCATTCTGTAATTAAGATTTACTCAGCAGTTTTCTCTCAAATATCTGTTCCCATTCAGCTAAGCAAGATGTTAGCATGTGTTGAGAATATTTTTTAAATTATTGAACAAGTTCCCTGCTACTTCAGATATCTGGGACATGGAAAACACCTCAGATCTTTCTCAGTGCACATTATAATTGTACCTTTCAATTTTTCACTTGAGACTTGAGCTGAAGTGTATTGGGAAGCATGCTCTATCCACTGGCAAAAACATATCATTTCCAGTGAATCCTTAGGAGTAAAATGTCTAAAATACAACTCCCAGTAAGTCTTGATGAATGCACGAGATAATTTTAGGAGTCCCCTGGAATGTTGCTTTCTGATATGTTTTCAAGAATAACCAAAAAGTAATGTATGACAAAATACCAGGAACTTCATTACATCCACACAGCTTCATTCAATTTAGATCAAGAATGTTAAAACAGAGAAAACAATCACATGGTATCAGTAGCTACCCTGGGTGAAGGAGGAAGAGGATATTTAAAACTTGTGGGACACTTTCATCTGCAGGAATAAAGTGCAAATCTGACTGGCAATTTCACTATAGAAGCCATATATGTCACTATAGGCTCAAGACCAAAGGTCTTCCAAGCCATATAAGATCTGGTTTGCTTTCTCTCAGTGGTTTTATCAATAAAAATAAATAAATTAATTAATTAATTCTGACAGAGAGTCTTAAGAGAGAGCTTTTTAGCCTTGTTCAGCAATGCAGAACTACAAATTAAAGTGGGGGGGGACTTAAACTGAAGAAAAGCAAACAATTGCATTTCTTTCTCTCTCCAGAACAACCAACCACACACACAGACCAGCCTGGAGAAACAAAACACTTCACTGCAAATCTTACCCTCATTCAGAGGGGAATAAAACTGTCTTTTCAGGAGACAGGATTCTTCAGCAGCAGCATCAAGGTAAAGTATTCCTGTTGTCTCCTTCTCACTGTTCCCACAAGTACTTCCTCGGGAATCGCTCCCTCCGCTCTGTCAGTACAACTGCTTGTGCAGCTGGGTAGGGAACTGGACGGGGAGGAGGGGGGAAAGAACTGCTTTAACAACCTGACAAAAAAATTGTTACTTTTTTTTCCAAATTTTGGAGAAGTTTCCCAGTCCACAGCTGCACAAACAAGTTTTCCTGCTGGGCCCAAAGGGATCGTGTGCTACACTGCAGTGCAAGAGCGGGAACGATCAGTGGGATGGAGGAGGAAATGGGTACATTTTTCTCTGGTGCTGCTACCAAAGCCTTTGTCCCCTGAAAACACACCTGGAGATGCAACTCCAGAGGCATCCAAGCTCCTCTAATGGCTCAGTGCTGCACAATGAGGAGCATCTCACCCTCACCTTCTCCTGCTAACCTTGCTCGTCACCCCACACCTCGCTCAGAATTATGTTCACTCACACCAGCTTTCAGGAGATCCTCTGTGACCTGACAGAATTCACTAAAACTGAAGAAGAAAATTTGGAAAAGTACTTGCAAGGGTCTGACACACATCAGGGTGAGCATAAGGTCACTGCACAGCAGGGGCATAAGGGTTGGTAGAAGTCAGGGAAGGAAACCCCCAGTTTAGCAGCAGTTTATTTTTACTTTAGCTCCCAGCAGCTCTGAAACAATAGGGAGATCAAACATCAAATTACTGGTATTACTGACATTACAGATATAGTAACATAATCTACTGTAATTCAGTAAACTGATGAATATGATACCAAAACTTACATAATACCATTTGCAGCTGGTTTTATTTTAAAACACAGGAAATTCCATGTAATTTCCCTCATTGACATACTGATTAACTTGAATCAGTTCCTTCAAATTGGGTTTCTAATAAATAATTCAATTTCTCTAAATTCCACTTATCAAGTGACATTTACTGCAACTGAATTTCCAGTTACTGACCCTGAGGAGAAGAAATCTGATCCATTTACCACTTCTTAGGCACAGTATGCAAATCTATCTATTTTGAATTTTTTTTTATGCTTTTACTACAAAAAAAAAGAATAAGGCCTAATTTTATTGCTAATTCCAAAGACGTTATTTGGATTATATTTCCTACATGTTAACTGAAAAACAGAAAATTGAGAGTATGTGATCATTTTTTATGTCATGTTCCCTGGCACTAACTCCTGAGAAAACCAACTAAACCTTTCCTAATGGCAGCTGGATTGCAAAAATTCTGCACAGTCGAAACTGAAGTGGTGCAAACACTGGAGGGTTTGCTTCAGGAAGGTGTTGAGAACAGACTTTTAAAGTATTGTTGTGAAACTGCTGATTTTGTATCACAGGGATTATGATCTGAAAGCTGCCTGGCGTTATCTCCACCACATCGTTCTCTCTCAGGTATCTGCTGCTGTCCTCTGGGCCTTTTTGGTGGTGGTGTTTTGACTGATAGTTTTGTGCTGTATGGCCTTGCTTAATCCCTGTGTATTCAGGGAAAGGTAAAATAGTTTTCTCATGTACAGCTGCCTCCAAATGATCTCTTTTGATGGCTCTGAACCCCTCAAAAAGCTTATTCTAAAGACTTAATGTTGCACCACTTGGAGCTCTTTCCCAGAGACACCCCAGAGTATGAAACTTGTGATGCAATAATTTGAAAACTTGTTAAATACGTTATCTAATAACTTTTCAGGCTAACAAGTGTTACTGGTATGTTGTTTCTCTCCCCACAGAAAGAATCAGGGAGAGAACTCCCATTCCAACGTACATGCCACTTGGACTTCAGATCTCCTCTGCAGCAGGGCCCCCATCCTGTTCCGTACAATGCACTGATAAAATCCAGCATCAGACTTCTGCAGAGCTGGGATGATGTACCTGCAAGACAAAATGCAGAATTATAGTGCACTTCTGCCTGTTTTACACGTTGCCTTAAATGCTTATTGTATTTTTTTCTGACAAGCAGCATTCTCGTATCATCTCTGGTCTTTGATTACAATATTGTCTGTTATACACAGATTTAAAAAAAAAAACCAAAAAACAAATAGAACAAAACGCATGAAATAGCTTTCAGTCTGAAGTTCTGGATGTGATAAATACCAAGTATATCCAAAAATTCTCTTGAAATATAGACTTAAATTTTTTCCTTAGTTTTCTCCACCTTCATTCCTCAGGCTGGTGAAAGCAGCCTGGTAATTTGTTCAGAGGAGGCACAAGAAGACTGCAAACTAAATGCGGGTATTAGGAAGACTTGCAAGGAACATCGAAGCTGTCCAATGAAAAAAATGTGATTATTCCACTGTAATTCAGAGGAATTCTGGAAATGACACCATGTGCTGTACGTTTTGTTTGTTCTGCCCTTCACTGTGCTTAAACAGACACTTAGTCCACTAATGCTCACCTTCCTCCTTCAGCTACATCTGATTACTCAACATGAAAATGAGCTGATAGGCACAGTTTTAATGGGACTAAAACACATGAATAATAGAGATAATCCTGCATTAAACAAACATTAATCAAAAGCACATATTCCCCCAGTCACCTTCAGGAGATATTATGGTAGGATTAATGAAAGTCTTTATGAAAGATAAGGAAAAAGAAAACTGCTGAATTTTAATCATCAAAATTTAAATCCACTAAAAGAAAACATCTCTTCTTAGATACATTGCACACACCCACACACAGAGCTTAATATCTGAGCAGGATCAGACTCCAGAAAAACAAAGGAGGTAGAAGAATCTGGTGTGATAAATGCAGGCTCTAATCACTGCATGGTGCAATAAATACACTATAGGAAATAGGTCATACAACCAAATACGGGGAATTAAAAGAGAGTCCAACACCATGGAGAAATTTTAGGGATTCCTGGGAGACCCTGGCAGCAAAGTGACAGCAAACGCAGCAATCAGAATCACTTCCTTCTCTGCCAGGCAGCTGATTGTTGTAAAACATAATTATTAAAAAAATAAATTTAATATTCTGGCAAGTAAATACTGAAAATTAATTTGTACAATTCATTTTACCAGACAGTTTATAGCTTAGCAGGTTTTTTTCCTCTCATAAAGGTTTAGCATCCTACTTGGCCAACATTTAGTGCATTGGCTTTTCTATTAAATAAAGCCAAAATTAAAGGCTTCTTTTTTGGGTATTCATCTGTACTAAAACAGTAATGCAGAGTTAGTTTTGCTGCCACCAGGACAAAACAAATCAATTAGATCAGAAGTGTCCTACTTTGGTTTTCTTTTCTGACTTATTAATGTTTCAGCAGGAAACGTTCTTAACATGTTGCCTGAAGAAATGAAAATCTTTTGAAAATTTACAGTGAAAATGCCATCTACCTTGGAAATTCCAAGGGAGCCCCAACCTACTGAGCAGCTGGATCCTCAGTGGACCTACTGAGTATGATGTGCAGGTAAGGGAAGCAAAATTAGAAGAACTTAATAACAAAAGTGAAAAAAAAAAAGAGATGGGACATATGGTTATACTATTTGAGACTAACTTAAAAATTACAAACCTGGGCAAGAGATAAATATTAATGGAATTTCTGATTCTGTGTTTACAATTTTAAACAGTCTTTATGCACCTCACGTGTCTTATTTTTTAAAATATACTTTTTTTATTGACCCAACAGTCATAATACTGCTTTTTTGTGCTATGCTTTCCCCTTTCTGCTTATTTTCTCATCTTCAAGAAGGGATATAAATAGTGCTTTCTAAATTCAAAACAAGACTTTCTTCCCCACAATGAATTTATATCAAAAGTTAATACAATTTTCTCCAGTGACAAGACATAATTTTGCTTTATTTTTGTCTACGCTCTCAACTTGCAAGAAGATCTTCCCATTGTACAGATGCCAGGAGGCTACTTAAGGTTTCTGGGGATCTCTGCAAGGACTTTAGAAAGTCAGAGTCGACAGTTTCTTCATTTTGAGTGGAACAGCCAACCAGAAACTGGTGCTTGGAAAGTTTCTGTGGAAAGATGTAAAGCGACAAGCGGAAAGGGAGCTCCGAGGGAAGCCTTGCAGAGCGGAACATGCTCCATCACCACACTGCCAGGAGTCAGTTTAAGGATGGAGTGCTATCAGACACCCAAGGAGAAATGCACTAACACTTATATTTCCTCCTAATTTAAAATTGAAACCCTCATTTGAATTTCAAATGCTCCGAGAGTTAAAAGCGAACCTATAGGCTACAGGATTTAATAGCCATAATTATGAACACAGAATTAAAAGCAAATGTATTTTATTGGATAGTCATGTAACTTATTATCTATTCAAACTTCCTAACAAGGGAATTATGCATCAAGTGGTCTCACTTTTTTTATGCAGAATAAAATTAAAATGTGTCCGATGATAAAAACACAAATAGAATAATCAGATTCTTTAAAGTAATTTGAAATATTATATGGCTGCTGAGACCTAATTTTAGTTTCTTAAATTCATATAAATTTCAGGCCACAAAAGCAAATATGGGAGACACACCTGGTCCCAAACTCAATTCAAAAGAAAACAAGGTGGGGGAGGAACCAAAAAAGAAAAAGGTCACTGCCTGAACTTTAAAGCCTCTTAACTTCTAGACATAAGCAGAATAACCACTGCAGTCAGCAGCACTGATTTGTTTCCATTATGTGTATCTCAGATCACAAAGAATTTATAAGGTTGTTTTATAAATTCTTAATCCAGCCCAGTGTATGCACAGTCACTGTAAGAGCCAGGCTTTGCACATAATCAGCTTCGTTAGACAAAGAAAAGCTGTTCATTCGGGGTCACCAAGGTCAAAATGCAAAGACTCCAATTAGTTCTTTACTCACTTGGGGTGTTATAATAATATATTTTCAGCCTGTTACAATATAGACATTACTTTAACTGAGGCTCACTAAGTAATATCAATTACCAAAACTCTTTGACTGATGATTCAAATTGCAGCAGAAGTCACTTACTCAGGAAGATTCGTGCATTTAAACAGACTATTTACCCATGAGAACTGCAGAGCAAACTATTATGGGGTCAAAGTTTAAATTCTGCAACTGGAATTTTTATGTCTAAGCATATCTTTTCCTTGCTTTCATTCATCCTTATGCACCTATGCCATATAATCTTTTTTTGGAAGCTTAAAGCTTTCCATTTCTATATAATCAAAATCCTGTTTGGTTTATGTCTGACTGTGGTGTAGTAACAGCAGCAGGGCTTCAACTTCTAAATTAGTATTTTCTATCAATGTTTTATTACTATAAACCAGTAGTTGCCTATCTTCTAAATCACCTCTGCATCAGATGTTTTAATTAGAAACAGAACTAAGAACAATATAAAAAAAATGCAGAATTATTAAATATAGCTTGAATCATGACCTGACATTCACTGGACTAAATTAAATGCAATGATGAGAAACAAAGGACTGATTGCAGGTGTGTGTAAACAGAGCTTGGCAAAGGTGTTCCAAAAACCTAACTCACACTGCAATATACAGTAAAATTCTCATTTTGTATTAGGGTGCCCACTTGGTTAAGAAATACCATGGCATTCTGATCTTATTTCAAAATGTCACACGTTCTTATTCAGGTTTCTCCTAATATCATGAAATGTCAGTCTCCCAGTGACGAGCACATCTACAAGGCTTGAATTCTAACCTTTGCTTGTTGTTGATTCCATGTTCATGTTGTTTGTCCTCCCACACCATTTTTTATCCCACTTTTCTCAGCACCTTATGCATTAAAAGCTGTTTTCAGCTCCTTCTGCTGAGCAACTACAACTGACTCTGCTGTTGTTGATCAAAACAAGTGGCGTTTACACAAAGTGATGCTCAAACATTCTGTGATTTGTTGTGTTACTAGAGATTCTTTTTATTTTCTAGAAAGTGTTCACAAATCTCCCCTATATGTGCATGTGGCTCATTTTGAGGTAGCAGGGCATCTCAAGGCTTGAAAACAGGACTAGGTGGGCTCATCTAAATCAAAAGTCTTGCACTTCCAGGAAACTTCACATATAAGTGTTGTTGGAAGCATTTGGTAAATACTTTATGCTAAATGCTCTAAATCACCCCCAAAAGTTTAAAAAAGTCATTTAAGGGACTTTTTTCCTCTTTGCTCGGTAAATGTAAATAATATCAAAAATAGATCTAATGTTAGCTTACAATTTTGGAAATATTTAAGGTAAGTAATTATGGACTACCTGGTGGACCAATATATAACTTCATATCATAACCTGCATTTTTATACTGAATTTTACTGCAATTTCTATCTGTAGGGATAAAGCACAAGTTTTCTCTGCCTAAACTCATGTAATCCCAAAAATGCAGTATTTAGCTTGGTTTGCTAAAGGTACAGGTGCTATACAAGGGCTCTGTTTGGCACAAATCCACCCCTCATAACTTCTGAATTCACCAGGTAATTTTTACAAAATCTGAGAGCAGCAAGTAAGCTGCATAAACGTTAAATTCTCTAAAGTTACGAAAACTGCCAACCGCACAGAGAAGACCCAGTCAATACTCCCACATTAAAGAAAAGCAGACAAAATTGGCTGTTTGACACTTTGATACTTGGCCAGTCATGTGCTACCTATCAGCACAAATGTAGCTCTGATAAGCCACTTCATGGTTTTTCTCTTGTTTGATGGGGAGACTGTGGGATGGGGAGGGAGTCGGGGAGGTCCCGGGGGCAAAGTGCATAATCATTAAAGAATAGTCTGTTAAAACTATCAGCTTAATTTTGGCATTCTTAGCAGTGAAACAGAAAGGTTTGTGTGGAATTTAAGGCAGACCACATTCTTCTGGATCTGATTGCAAAGAACAGTCCCACTGAGCTCAGCTCCCCTCCAGGAGGAGTCACATCACATGGAACATTTAACTGAGGAATTATGTCTCCTATTTATACAGATACAGGTAAGGTTGCTTCTCCAGCAAAAAGCATTTTTGGTACTTAAAACTTCTGTGTTAAGACCTATGTGTTGAAGCGTTAAACACTCTTAGCAAAGGAGATTCTCTCAGAGATCTCACCTGTTTACTAAACCCAGTCTTCTTTCATGATAAAAAAACCAGTGGCCATGTGTCTGTCTCTACAAAGCTCCTCGAGGTACTGAGGAATTGGGGAGTGGCATTTGTTTTGGGTGGGTTTTTTTTTTTTTTTTTGGCAATTACACTTAGAGAAGATGATTATATAGATTATTTACTTATATTCACTGGAGTAGGAGGTGATTTCGCTGTCGTTGTGTAACCACTTGAATTCCAAGGGCCAGCTGCCTTCGGCAAGGCACGTCAGGACCAGTCGGTTCCCTTCCAGGTGTATCTGGGGCAGGCCTGGTTCTGTCTTGAAGTAGGGTGCAACATCATCTGAAACACAAAGGGAAAAATGGGTTTGGAGGCTACTGAAGAAAATAGGGGATACAGCACTGATATTTAGCTCGTTGCTTTTCAAAACGGACATCGTGAAACAAGAAACAACAAAATTCCGTTCAGGCTTCATCATAACTGAGCTTTATTTCAGAGGCAGAATCCCCAAGATCTTTATAACCTTAGTCCTTGCCCACTCAGACAAGCTTTTGTCCATGTTTACTGTTTACCCCTATGAGAATTCCAGCACTGTCTGCTGTGGCAGGCAGTGATCAGCCCTATTGGCCTTTCCCCCCCCTCCTCTGTGAGGATTAAATCCACTCCAAGCTTTTTTTTTTTCATTTCTTGAATAGAAACCAGAAGAGTAATCTTGGATAGAAATGATTATCATAGCAGGAGAAGTCTCAGGGTAAATAAAGAGTTTTGATAGGGAAAAGAAGTTAGAAAAAAAAACACCTCACAAAATCACAAGTTTAACGTATTTTCCAACATTCTTGCCAAAAAAATGTGTTAAATTATATTACCTGAAGTCACTAACAGATTTTGAATTAGAGTTCTTCAATAATATGCAAGGGTCACATGTAGTCTCAAACTCTTGTGTATCACAGATACTCAAAATACTCCAAAGCAGCAAAATCCTTGATGGGTAAATTGCCAAATCTCTACTCAAACACAGATTTATTCTGAGTCCACACCTACTGGAGATCCACCCCAATCACCTCTGGAAGATGAAGTTTTTCACACTTCATGTGTCAAACTTCTACTTGTAACTAAAGGCTTAATCTTAGAAGTGTACAAATACCTTCTAAAGCAAAATTAACACTGAATAATAGAATGGCCTGGGTTGGAAGGGATCTTAAAGATCATCCAGTTCCACTCCCTGCCATGGACAGGGACACCTTCCACTAGCCCAGGTTGCTCAGAGCTCCATCCAACCTGCCTTATACCATTCCAGGGAGTTTATGTCTCTATATAACCCTCACGAGTTATATTCAAAGTCAGAGATTTAATCCAAAATATGAATAATATTTAATAGCCAGATGATACTGAAATCTGCTTTTAAGAGTGCAGGGTGTGTACTTTATACATAAAATACCAAAAAACCCCAAGATATACAAATGTTGTCCCAGTGCAAGTAACGGTTCAGTTAAACTGCTAACCTTTCATTTAAAATTTATTTTAGATAAGCTCAGGCATTTTTATACTTGCTATTTAAAGACTTCAAGATTTTTTTTTATTTTTTTTTTACAGTTTATAGGGAAGTGACCTCATGTACTATTCAAGGCTGGCTGAAATTCTTGACTCCACAGGTCACACCCTGTAATCTTTAACAGGTGATGGCCCCAGGGCACCAAGCACATGGACTGGGCAAGAAGAGCTCAGGGCAAGGGCTGTTGGTGGTTTTCCAAGGGCTCTGGTGTTCTGGGTTTGCAGCCCAGCCTGGTGATGTCAACTTCTCTAAGCCCTTATCTTTCACTTGGCCTCTTATCAGGGAATTTTTATTACTTCACAGAGCACATGGAAGCACAGAGAATGTCCCAGGGCAGCAGCTGGACTCCAGCTGAGCGTGGTCGGGGAGCCCCAGGCTGACTGTCGCCAAAATATCTCCTGCAATTGGCCATAAATCAAACAGCAGCTCCCCACACGTCTGGTGATTTGTATTGACAAACTGCATCCTAAGTTTTTAGAACTTGGCTTAAGAAACACAGACATTTATGCAGGGGAAAAAAAAAAGGCACATATAATCCTAAAGCAATACTTAGAAACTATCACACAAAATCTGTTCTTGCAAACTGAATTAAAAACTGCATTTGAGGGAAGGGACTTTTCTGATTTGCAGCACTTTAAAGAATCTGTTTTTCAAACAAACTGATATATGACGAGTGCAGATCAGCAATATCTTCTTTAAATTGGCCATACAGGAAGATACAAAAATTCAACATATGAGAAAATTGGAACAGTTCCAAACTCACAGATATTCCCAGGCAAGCCAAGGATAGTTTTTACACTTCTTCACTCTATTACATGACTGATAATATATTGTGCAAAGCTTCTTGTTTTAATGACTGCAATTATTGTGGAGTCATCTTATATCAACTCTCATTTTCTCCTAACCAGTAAAATCAACCAATATCTTAAACATTATAAATTAAAATTTAAGCTGGAGCCAGAAGATGTTCATGTGAAATGCAGTTATTTTACCCAGAGCGAAGAGCAAATTTTTGTAAAGCTATTTCTAAACAAGTGAGAAAATGTTAAGCCTTGTCAAAGGCTTCACAGATATTTTGGGGAGTCTCACAAGAGAGTTCCAAGACAGACATTCTACCCTTAAAAAATTAAAGGTGTCAGGCTTCCTCTGGAGATGGAAAGGCAGCAGCTGGGAGCAGTGCTGGTGTTCAGGGGAAGGGTTTGTAACAGAGACCAACTGGTACATGGAAATCATTAGTGCCAAGTCCCCCGAGAACAACATTTACCTGCTCATGGAATGAGCTTCCTAAACTATTCCTCCCTGAAGAAAGTCGACTCACTGAAGGAGATTACAGTGAAACTGGTGTCTGCTCTATAAACCCCTGCCCGAGTCATTTGTTGATCCTGGTTTTCAGTGATTTACAGACTCAGCAGCATAACCTCCTTCATTACTTCACTCTGAATTATCCACTTACTCCTTCTAACTTAGGGCTTTCCAAGAAAAAAAACGATTTATTTGGAAGACAAAGACTGCTGCCCACAGGTCTGTCACTGAGCCCTACATTTCCTACTCAAATATTCCAAACCCAGTGATACTGCAGCCCACTCAGAGCCATCTCCTATTTAAAGCATCACAATCAAGCTGGTGTTACATGAAAATGATTCTCCAAACTCAATCCAGTTCTGTTAGAAGCTAAAATTTAATAGACCTAGGGGACTATTTTTATAAAGAATATAGCATGCTTTATAAATTACCTCAGCTCTCTGGAAGATTTACTTAAACCCTTGAAGTAATTTTATCTTCTAATCTTTTATTCCTGACTTTCTCATCAATCACATACCATCAGTTTATCAAATTCAATTATGTAATCAGAGCTCACTAAATATTCACTGAAAGCAAAAATGAAAATAAAATAGGGAGCAAAGACTCCATGCAGAGGCTTTGATGACTTGGGCATTTCTGCAGCTCACACCTCAGGCTCACCATCACACCACTGCTGCACCCTTGAGCTTTATTTATATCTTTAGGCTGGAATGGAAAGCAAAATTTTAAATTGGACCTGTAAGGACAAGTTTGGTTGTTTTAGAGCATCGCAGGGAAACAGGAAATTTGGCAGGAAAAACAGAAGCCGCCTCAGAAAGGAAACCGTAGGAGAGAAATAACTGGCTGAGGGATGGAAGGTACAGGGGTCAGTTAATAGGGGTGAGATACCTGCACTCAGGAATTAATGACAGCAAGGGCTCACCACAAGGCCAACCTTGGCCAACCAACATTTGAGAAGCCAGGAAAGCATCTCTGTTGTTACCCTCTTTAAGAACGCAGTAAAATACTAACAAAAAGCCTATCTGAGTACTAGAAGCAAATATAACAAAATACTGCAATGAATATTCCTAGCTAGGATACTTTTCTACCTAAAAGAAAAAAAAAAAAAAAGGCAAGCATTCATGCTATATACAGTTGCTTTTTCTAAATGCTACATGTGTTAATACTTCCAGCCTCTTCTGGCTCTTCAGCAATGCTGATTTAAAAATAAAGTAATAGCAATTAAAAAATTCTCTGGGTTGCAGGAAGGAGTAAAGGGATAAGGTGCCAATCTGTTGGCACATGTGCACAGACAGCTCCAATAATTAACTTTCACTAAGGCTGCTTACCAAACTCGCCAGCATCCTGACCTGTATCCTTAAAAAGGATGATGCAGTTTATTTTTATGTAAATTTCAAGAAAAAACAGCATTGAATACAGCCAAAATTATCTGGAAATTTGCTCCACAACATGTCTTCCTTGCTTTTGTGTATCACTGAACTGCAAGAGTCTCATTATACTGCCAGGGCAGCCCGTCCAGTTTCTTCGGTACATGCAAAGCTTAGATGGATTTTATCTCAAAATATAGTTTCAAGACTTAATTCAACAATGCACAGACACTTTTGCTTGGATTCATGCTGACAGTTCAATACAAAATGGTGCTGTCTGCAATTGTCACCTGCTTTGGGCTTGTCCTCAGCCCTGGCAGACGAGATGCAGCACAGAACAGCTGAAAGCTCCCTCGTACTCCATCCTCCCTGAAAATCATGTTCAGACACAAACTTACAAATAAAGGAAAGAGGAAAAGGCCCATTGACTGTACAGCTTTGTACTGAATGGAATGACAACAAAACTTCCAAGACACTCATTAGATAACCAAGGGAAGCCAAATCTCATAAGGATGGTGTGAGTGAACGTGACTTCAGAAAATGAGGAGAGCACCAACTCAGGGACCTCAAATATACCCTCCAAGAAACAAATTACAAGGCTTGGCTAATGATTCTCAGCCCTGTAAGAGCCTACATTTGTAAAATACATAAAGTAAAGTCAGATTAAACAGATCTTTCAGTGACTACAAGGTATTATTACAAGATCATGAAAGCAGTCACGTGGTCCTATCCCTCAGGAATTAATATATTTTAATTAAAAACAAAATTTGATCTTGAGAACATCTATCCTACGGAGAACAGGAAAGTTACTGTACTCCAGAGAAGAACCATATCCCCTTCATCAGTAAAACCCACTGCAACTACCCTCTTAAAACCTCAGCATTTTTTTTCTCCAGAGATGTTGGATACCAACAGTTACAGGCCAAATCACGGGTTCACAGCCTGAGAAAATCAGTTCCCGTGGTCCTGAACACTCAGAGGAAGGAAACACAGTGAGTGCCCAGGGCCCACTGCCACTGCTGTTTGTCTTGGTTATGTACCTCTACTTTTAAAGCCATTTTTAGGTGAGCCAATATTGACTATTAAAGTAGATTAACCTGCACATAAACCAGCAATTCAGG